CACCGGACGCACCGGTGCCCGTGCCTCCACTGCTGCTCTTGGCCAAAGTCTAGGTGGGCACCATGTGGCGGTGCCACCGAACAGGGTGGCGGTGCCCCCTAGGACAACCCGCTGCTCTCGGCCTCCATCCCGTCACCACGACAGGGGTGGCGATGCCTCAGTGGCAGCACCCAAGCCGAGTTTCATCTCCGTTTCTTCATATTTCTCACCACCTTTGTAAATGTGCTAACACTCTAAGTGTTTCACCATCGCATGCAAGTGTGTTAGCATTTTCATAATCAGTTTTCAAAGGTTAAACACTTCTCACCGAATGTGCACTAGGCCTAAAATGCAATGCAAGTATTTCAACACGTAGTGGCACTAGATGATCGAGTTATCTGATAAGAGCTCCCTTCTTAATAGTACGATCATCTATCCTAAATGTGATCACACTCACTAAGTGTCTCGATCACCAAACTAAAAGGCTTCTATTAAGTTTCACCTTTGCCTTGAGCTTTTTATTTTTCTTTTTCTTATTTTCCAAGTCCAAAAACTTGATCATCACGGTCTCCACACCATCATCATGATCTTCACCATTGCTCCATCACTTGGAATAGTGCTACCTATCTCATGATCACTTTGATAAACTGGGTTAGCACTTAGGGTTTGATCAATTCATCAAAACCAAACTAGAGCTTTCAAGCGCTACTAAGCAGGGCTAGCCGCTGTAATCCGGCACCAAAGCTGTGTAGCTCCTCTACAATCAGTTCGCTTCTGCCCATCTCTCAAGATGTTGTCCCACACCGAATAGCCATTGCAGTAGGGCTACCCGCCACAAGCCACTGCTAAAACGCCAAACCTACGCTAGAGGAGTTGCCTTAGGCGCACACCAAGCCGACCCGTCTGCCGAGATCCACACGCACACACCGTAGCTTCCAGTAACCTAGCTGTCTCATCGAGGTACAAGTGCCACACATGCCCTCCGGCTGCCGGTCAGAAGCCTCCACTCAGGTCATCGGCAACGCTAGTCTGCTAGCACCACCTCCCACGTCGGCCTCCTCGCCAACTCTGTGGGCGCCTTCCATGTCAGCATCGTCATCAACTTCGTGGTCACAACTCAACTGCCAGACAGATGCGAAATCCTCGAATCACCACGCCAAATCCCCCTCCCGGCCACCTTCCGCCGCAATGGACATCGGAAACTTGAATCCTTAGCTAGGCCTCCACCTTCACGCCATGATGGAGGCGGCGGAACCGAACTTACTGAGCACGAAGCTTCCAAAATGACGCCTCAAGGAGGAACGTGACGCCACCGTGGCTCGACCAAAAGGTCAAGGTTTTACACCCATGAAGAGCACGCCACGTGGGGGAGAAGGGCCAATCGATGGGCGCTTCCAAGAAAGAATATGGCGCCCATAGGCGTCGCCACCATCAGTCCACTGGACGTAGCTTTCGCCATGGCACCTCAACCCCGTCGTCCGCATATACACCAAAGACAGCACCGCCCGCCCGCCGCCGCGCGTCCTCCGAAAGCCCGCAGTACCACCATCGCGTGACTCGCCGCTGCTGCCGCCGCCATGTAGCTAGCCATCCGCCGCCGCCATGAGGTGGTAGCCGCTGCCCGGCCCCCAGAGGTCCGGCCGTCGGGAGGCATTGCCCACACCGAGTTGCCGTGGCCCACGCGCCCGATGTCGGCCTCCGTCCTCGTCGCTGGCGCCCGCCGCCGGAACACCGAAATCGACTCGGAGTGCCGGATCCGGCTGCGCGAGTGCGATCCCGGCTGCCAGAGTGCGAATCTGCTGATCGGAGCCGCCGCCCGTCGTCGTAGCCGCCGGCGAAAGTCCAAGACGGCCAGAAGCAGGCCTAAACGGCGCCTCAGCCCCGGGCCCCCGGATCCGAGCTCGGCCGAACACCGGCATCGCTCCTCCACCGGTGCCTCCGCGCACGATGTAGGAACGTGCCTCTGCGCACGCGCTGCAGCAATCGACGTTGCCGTGCCCGTGCAGCCTCCACACTGCCACATAGCCGCCGCCGGCCATACTGCAGCTTTACGAGGAGCGCCATCGCTGCGGATCTGGCTGGCCGAGGTACCCAGCAGATGCGCCGCAGCCACAGAGATTAAGGGGGGATTAGGCCCCGCCGCCACCATCCTAGCACACGCACGGACTCCGGCAGAGTGCTCCGTCGGCAGCGAGACGCAGGGAAGGGCGAAGGTGGGGCTGGCGGCGCGGTGGTTTGGTCGCCGCCCGTGTCGTCCCCTGGGAGCGACGCGAGGGCCCGTGTTGTGGCGATCAAGGGTATTTGGTTGTTTACCGGAACTTGACAGTGTCAAAGCCCGGCGATCAAGTGTATTGCCACAATAATTCTCGCCAAGAGTAATCTCTCAAAAAGTCATGGTGTGATCCGGCATTCCGGCCTATTGACATCTTGAAAATTGTCTTATATAATGAAAAAGTACCTGTAAGTAAGAATGGTACGTCCTTCCCAATCATTATAAAGAGCTCTTTATACTTGTCCAAACAAAAGTTATTTCTTGGACCATTTTTTTTTCAATCGATTGGGTCTTCTTTAATATATGTATCCTTTTTTTTTACAACATTAATATATGTATCCTTGACGTGCTTCTCTATCATCATCATCAAGCTTGGATAGACGACGTCTCATAAAGTCTATCCAAGTGAAAAGAATAAACTCTCTTGAAACTTCACACAAAAAGAGATCGTTGCTAGGTGTAGAAAGTGCACTATCCAGACCGCATCTGATCCGTTTCTACCTACCCTACGTGGTGGTAGGCAGCAAGAAAATTTGGTTCAGTCTTCGCAATGTTTTTCCCTCTGTTACTTTTCACATGAATGATGTGAATGATGTTGATACAATTGGTTTTTTGTGTCAGCAACTTTACTGATGAATCGTCCTGCTAGAATGCCATGTGGCAATTTACACGTAGAACATATGGTCATATGCTCATATAGGCGGATGTGTCAATATATCATGACGGCGGCCTTATCTTAAAGAGATCATGACCGCGAGGCGCGTGGCCTCCTGTAGCTAAATGGATGTATATGCATATTCCCCAGATGAGAAGGAACTGTAAAATCATCCTAAGTGAAGAAAATAAAGAGAGAGAGAAAAAAATATGAGGTATCTATCAGCCTGTTCGGGAGATCGTATCGTATCGTAGATTATTTACTGCTGACTGGTTTGGTGTGAGAGAAAAACACTGTTCCCGACTAAAAATTTACGATCATTTACGAGCAAGCGAACAGGCTGATACTTTTTAAAAGAAGTTGTCCGTTTAACTTGCCCTGATTTCTGAAAAAGATTGAGGAACAGGTGTGCCAGCTTAGACGGCCGGTCGGTCACTAGTACTAAGGCATTTCCAGAAACTTCACGAGGAAGATAAGTAGATGACCAGGAGGAGAATATGAACCTACCAGCACATCACCAGCCTTATAATTCATACTTTTCAGCTTATTGTTTTGACTGGAATAGTGTTTTTTCTCACAACGAATCAGTCGAAATAATATTTCAGTTTATTTTTTCAGCGAAGCGAACGGAACTATAGATGGATCGCTACCGTTGCATTTTTTTTCCGATGAGTTCTTTTGGTCATATTTTAAGTTTTTCACGCATCAACAACTTAATTATGAGGTGCATTCTAGAGAGCACCTACTGCTATGTACTGTGCACCGGATTTATCTCTGGTGGTGCGCCAAACAAGCTATCAGAGTTATGATGCAACGGTTGGCAACGACTAGTTGATTGATATAATAAGGTCCTGTTCGCATGTCTTATAAGTCGTACTATTTCAGCGAACGAATAGTATTTTTTTTTCATAATAAATCAGCGAACAGTACTTTCATTCATGACTTCTCAGCAAAGCGAACATGACCTAAAGGACAACAGATTTCTCCGGTATCGGCCCTGTTTGCTCGGAGGAATTTGGAGGAATCCGTGAGATAAAATCAGTCGTGAACAGTAACTTTCAGCCGTAAACAGTGCAATTTTTGCACCGTCCGAACGGGCCCATCGTCGTTGATGAGCTTCGGTACACTAGGCAAATCAAAGGAAGTCCTAGCTCCAAATGGCTAGTTGGTGTTTGTGGAGCTATATATACACATCTCTTATTTAGGTCCCGTTTGGCAGAGCTTCACTTCACTAGTGAAGCTATTTTTTTTTGCTTCAACTTCACGAACAGCTCCACCAGTGGAGCTGAAGCGGTTTTGGTAAACCATTTGGCAAAATGGCTTCCCTGTGAGAGCATGTTTTTAGGGGTCTGGAGGAGAAGCCGGGAGAAGCCACTTTTTTTGGCTCCATCCCACCCCAAATCACTGTGAGAGCATGATTTTAGGGGCTTCACCAGTGAAGTTATTTCACTTTACCCCGTTTGGCAGAAAACGGCTTCAAACGGCTCCTGAAGCCGGTGGAGAAGCCCTACCAAACGGGCCCTAGTTCTCCAAAAGTGCACTATGCAAAAAGAAGATTCCCCGTCACATCAAACTTGCGGTACATGCATGGAGTACTAAATATAGACGAAATCAAAAACTAATTGCACAGTTTGCTTTAACTTTACGAGACGAATCTTTTGAGCATAATTAGTCAATGTTTGGACAATAATTCACAAAAACAAACGAAATGCTATAGTGAAGAATCGTGCATTATACAAAGTTTGTGCAAACTTTACCGAACTAAACACGCCACCACACCTCCGATCATTTGGAGCTAGGTTACGCCAGTCTCAGGCCTTGTTTAGATAGCTGTTAGAAATCAGTATTTGGCACTATAGCACTTTCGTTTGTATTTGATAATTATTGTTTAATTATGGTCTAACTAGGCTCAAAAGATTCGTCTCGTAATTTACAATCAAACTGTGTAATTAATTATTTTTTTTATCTACATTCAATACTTCATATATATATCAAAAATTTAATGTGATAGAGAGAGTGAAAAAACTTAGAATCTAAGCAAGGCCTCAGTGAGAACTTTAGCTGTGTTTCGTTCTCATTTAATACGATGACATGTCAACATATTAGTTGAGTTGGTAATCTATTAATGAGAAGGGAGAGGAACAGAGTTTCATGCGGAGGAAACCGAGCAGCTCGCGTACCCAGACGATGAAACGCGGATGAAACCCCGTTGAGAGCCCGGAGTTTCATTTCATCAGCTCCGCGGGATCTCCTGCGAGACGCGCGCAGATTTTCGGTCCCCGCGTCGTCTCCCGCCTTGCCTTCCTTTTTCTCGCGCCAAAGCCAATCTCCAGCTCCGATTTGCTCCCCAGGTCGCCTCCTTCCAGTCCCGCGGCTGCAGATTTGTTTCCCAGCTCCGATTTGTTTCACAGGCGCCTCCTCCAATCCAATCTCGCGGCGGTAGCATCGGCGAGATCTCAGCATCGGCATGTGGGGGTGGCATCGGCAAGCGCCGAATAGGGCCGGCATGGCCGGCGATGCTGCAGCGCCTCCATGACGCCGCGGCAAGAAGACCACCAACAAATCCACTTCGCCGGCTGCGCCACCGTCTGCTGCGCCACCCCCATCTGCTGCGCCACCTCAGGCGGGGTTCCCCTTCCCCCTGCAGCCACCGCTGCCATCGATTGATGGTTTGTGGCCCAAATCCAGCGGTAGCAGTGGAGCAGGTCACTCACCACAAGGAAATCAGTATGCAAATATGTGGTAATCGAGCATGAATTTCAAGTGTTGCACTCTAGTCTGTAACCATGTCAATTTCTGAATGCAGTGAAATTGCTCCTGCATTGTTTTTTTTTATAAAGTATGAATCTGTAACCATGTGCATTTCTGAATTGCAAATGTTATGTGAGCTGAGCCACTCAAACAAGAACATGCCGTACCTAAAGGATTTTGCAATCTGTCAATGGTGTTATTCATTTCAGCAACTTGGTACTAGAATATGCTTGTACCTGCAATTTAATCAGATTCATTTGATATGTTAGGGGATTTCCGCAAGAAGACCATGCGCCAAACATGTCAGATCACAATACCTTGGATGATTTCATCGCTGAGGATGACATCCTGGATGAGGTACTCGATCAAGCCATGAGGGTTCTGAAGAGTAGCATGGAAGCACTTCAAAAAGAGGCGGACGATCATTGATTGCATCCGCGGAAGTACATCAGAAGGCCTCATGAGGAATTCAGTTAGCATCTAGTGGATGATTATTTCTCTGAAATTCCTGTTTATTCTTCCAATATTTTTAGCCGAAGATTTCGTATGTCTAGACCCCTTTTTCTCCGTATTGTGCAAGGTATTATATCAATATTTGGTGAACAATATTTGAGGCGTCCGACTGTGGAGAATACTGAGCATCTTCTCAAAATTGGCGAGAAACAAGGATTTCCTGGTATGTTTGGCACCATTGACTGTATGCATTGGCACTGGGAAAGATGCCCAACTGCATGGAAGAGCAGTTTACTCGAGGTGATCAGAAAGTGCCGACGATAATTCTTGAGGCCGTGGCATCACATGATCTCTGGATTTGGCATGCATTCTTTGGGGTTGCGGGTTCTAACAATGACATCAATGTTTTGAACCAGTCTACTATATTTATTGAAGAGCTAAAGGGACAAACTCCTAGAGTCCAATACATGATCAACGGGAATCAACACAACATAGGGTACTATCTTGCTGATGGAATATATCCGGATTGGGCTATATTTGTGAAGTCAATATCGATGCCCATCTCCGAAAAGGATAAGTTATATGCACAGGAACAAGAAGGAGCAAGGAAGGATATTGAACGGGCCTTTGGTGTATTGCGCCGTCGATTTTGCATTTTAAAACAACCAGCTCGTCTATATGACCGGGATCAACTCCACAATGTTGTGCTAGCTTGCATCATACTTCACAATATGATAGTTGAAGATGAAAAGGAAGATGACCTGGAAGAGAATCTTGATTTGAATGAGGCTCCAAGTACAGTGATTGTCGAAGAACTGGAATTCTCTCCCAACCAATATGTTACATTTGAAAGAGTTTTAGAGAAAGATAGTGACATTCGGGATCGTTCGGTGCGTCATCGGTTGAAGAAAGATTTGGTGGAACATATTTGGAACAAGTTCGGACGCCGTCAAAATATGTGGTAAGCTCACAGGGCTTTTTATCCCCATCAGGTTCTGTTGTTGTCTGCTCTCCTATTTCATATTTGCATCAAGTTAAGAGCATCAGTTATGCAGTTCAGTTCTCATAGCACAGAAGAGATGCACCTTACTTAATTCTGCTGTTGTTTGCACCTTAGTAAATTCTACTCTTGTCTGCACCTTACTCAGTTCTGAAATGAGATTCAGTTCTTGTATACACATATAGCAGTAGCAGATAGCAAATTTGGTTTCAGCATTTGAGTTTTGTGCAGGACAGCAGTAATCTGACTGCATGAACCTGGCTGGAATTAGTTCTCCATGGTCATGAGTCATTCTTTTGTTTTGCTATAAATTTCTTTGTTTCTTGTATACACATTAGCTGCAGTATGTGAGTGATTTAGCAAGCTGCTGTATATGAGTGATTTAGCTGCAGTAACCTTTTTTATATTCACTACTCCATCTTCTACAGGACAGCAGTAACTTTTTTTGTTCACCACTTCATTTTCAGAAGCTGGAGTGCACGCTGTTTGGGAAATCACCAATGTCAAGATTTGGCTGCTAGCCTGCCCTTGAATGTCTATGAAGTGAACTGAGAGAGGCTATCTGAATGTTTTTTTTTCTCGATCAGATGAACATCTATCTGAATATTATCGGCATTTGGCATGTTTAATGTACTTCATTTTTCTAACTGAACGCTTCATCGTCCTGTGTTTAATATACTTTTTTTTGGCGTGTGATAGCAACACCAGTGTGATAATAAGGCCAAAGTGATACTTGTTCAGTTTATATACAATTCCAAATGGCCACATATTGCACATGACACATTTGATCACAACACCATGCAAAATTAAATGCTACAGATTGTCTATGAAACAGTGCAATGAAACTGTACATTGAGAGAGGTAGTTTCATTTTTCAATCTAAGGTTGTAAAGCTGACGTAGCAGTCTTGGAAACAGCGAAATAAAACTTGCCATTGAGACTGGCCATAGAGTGTGCAGAGATTGTAATTGAGCAGAGGCACACATATCGTTGTGCTCTAGCCATCACGTGCTAGTTAGAGACCGCTTTAGTACTTGCTTTAGTTTTCGAACTAGAGTTTATTGAGTTTTGCATATATACCTGCTTGATATCAGTGCTTACGAGTACCATGAGTTGTACACGTCGAGGCTTGTAAGTATTGTGAGATCCTCCAACTGCATCTGTGGAGTAGCCGTCGATGGTGTACGAGTTGAGGGGCTAGAGGCCCTCAGCGTTTTGGCTGAATATCTCATAGTAGAGGCGGGAGAGGCTTGATGGGGACCTACTCGTGCGTAGGTTAGGCCCGTGAGATGTCCACGAAATTACTCGGTCGGGAACTTTTGGACATCTGAAAGTTTTGAACACCAGTCAAACTTTGATAACTGACATGTCCAGAACATCGGGACACTAAGTTTCTAAAGCTGTCAAACCTGTTCTCTCTGCAAAGTGTATATGTCTCTCAAGGGCTTTGTCAGATCTTTGAGCACTTTATCTTCCTCAAGTCTGTGTGGATCCATATCCCGCCTTTATAGTACAACATTTTCTATACTCAATTTCAAAATATAATACAAGTAAAGACTTCATTGAGCTGAACACTAATTCTTCTTTAGAACTGAGGGGTCACCAAGCTTTATCATAACTTCAAGGGGCTAATAGCTATATCATAACTCATTTGTTCGACGAAAAAATTAACTCCCATTCACCGCATTCTGATTGTCTGGTCCTTTAGGTAGTGTTTGGTTAGAGTGATAGGATGGTTGCATGTGGGATACCCACTTTCGCATGGTATTTGCATGGTTTAGGGATAGTCAGAGACGGGACAATTCCACTAGGGAATATACCCTCTATATGCGGGTTCAACTCGTACCTAGAAATTTCACGGATGAGTTTGTCCTAAGTGGGATGAGCGCTCCAAGTACGCGAGCAAGAAGTAGAGGTGTGCATAGGCATGGCTGATGTGCAGGGGTGAGGTGATGCTCCGGGTGCAGCAAAGGACGGAGGTCGCGGGTGATAGTGGGCGGTGCGGGTCTGTGGTCTCAACGGGGTGTCAACGGTATGGGGCACCGACGGAGCTCGCGAAGCCGTTGAGCACAGTGGCACAGGCGCGAGCGGAGCTCGGGGGGCACCAAGCCAGGGGTGTGGGCGGAGGCTGGTGGAGTGGAGGCCGACGCTGTGGATCAGAATCTGACTCTGACGCCGTTTGGGCGAGATCCACTCCCATCGCATTATCGTGTGGGTTTGATCTATTGCTATGCAAGCAAGCTCTGCTCCTGGCCTCGCCTTGCAGGCTCTGGATTTGTCTGTCACGAGCGCCCGTGGATGGTGGATCGGTGATGGCGTCGTGGTTTCAATGGATCATGGATGCATGTATAGGAAAGCAAGACCATGAAAGGAAGAGAAAAAAAAGAAAGAAAAGAGACTAGCAGATGGGACGCATATGTCAGATGGTTGATCCCACTTTTTCGTCCCTTGACCAAACAGAAAATAAGACTAGAGATGCCAATCACACCCGCGAGTGCGGGTGCCCACGGGCGCTGCACCTGTTAGGGTGTGAGTGCGGGTTAGACCCGTAGGTGTCTTTGGGTCAGGGTGTGGTGTATATTTGACCCACGCGGGGCCCGAAACACATTTTTTCTGTTGTTTCCCTCCTCTTGGAGGTCTAGAACAAATATTTGGCATAAGCATTTGTAAAACCTAGTATGATTTTTATGAAATATGTTGTTCATGTAGTATATAACTAGACTAGATTTAAGTTGTGAACTTTTTTGTTCGTCGGTGATGATAAATTAATATGTAACTCCATATAGCTCCTAGAATCCACGCGTTGAGAGCGATCTGGTTACTGTTCACCAATCGTATGCAGCCACGTGGACTCGTGCGTGTGTAATCCTCGATTTGGTCTCGCTTCGTTTACCGTCAGCTCCGCGCTTTCTCTGGCGCCTTCCCTCCCCATGCTCCTGCTACAATGCTTCCTCTCCCCTAGCGGCGGAACCCCTCGAGTGGCATCGCGCCTCGCTGCCTCCGTCAGTCCGTCCGCACTTTCTGCGGTGCCTCCTCTCCCCTAGGCCCCAGCTGCGGCGCATCCTCCCCCAGCGGCAACGGACGCGGATGCCGCATCCTTTGTGGATCGCTTCAGCGCCTCTTCCTCTTCCCCGACGGCGGCGGCCAGCTGTACGATTGTGCGTGGAACCAGGACGGCGAGGCAGCGACGGCAGCGTTGCGTTGGAGCTCCACGACGGGTCAGGTATGTTGTCTTCTCCCCCTCGCCTTCGATTCGTGCCGGCACCCCTTCCTCTCCCTCTCCGTCCCCATTCCCCTCCAAGATCTGTGAGGCGGTACGGTGAGAGCAACGGCCGGAGCTCCAGCTCGCCCTCGCCTTTGGCGCCTCCGCCGAACTCCCCTTCCATCTGTGCTCACGACGGCTCCCCTTCCGCTCCCTGTCCCTCCTAGATCTGCGAGCCGGGATAGCGAGAGCGACGCCTGGACACGGAGCCGCCACAGCAACGGCCAAACCCGGTAGCGAACTTGGAACGGTGAGCCGCACCAGCTGCCTTTCTCCTTCTCCTCCTCCTTGACCCCTTAGCGCGCTATATGGAGTTACATATTTGGCACCTGCTCCACCACAGGCAGAGCCGCTCCTAGCCGAATCGACGTCTCCCTCGCTCTGATCTTAGCGGTTCACGAACTCCACAGCTGGTGGCGCTCTCCGATACAGTGTCGTGCCGCCAACCGTGGGTAGCTTTACTTAGCCGCAAAGACTTCACCAGCTTCATTAACCTCTCAGCTACTCTGACCTCCTCTCTTTTCTTTTCTAATTTCATTCTTATTTCTCTGTTTTGATTTGATTTTCCTCCAAAATCCACATTGATTTTGTTTGAATACTAGGGTTTTCATCTTCATGATTGCTGCTGCACTCCGTTGATCCGTGGCACCAATTGATGGTTCCCTCACAGGTAAGTGCCATGCTTTATTTTGTTCAATTAGTTCAGTTTATGGTGGTTTACTAAAATTGGGGTTACATGATTCGAATTCAAGTTTCAACCAGCTTCATTCATGTGTACGTATTTTGTAGACAGACTATCATCGATGTATGTTTATCGCACTGCCATTCAATTAATTTTTCTCTTGCTCTAAATAAGTTATTTTGGTCAGATAACGTTGTGAGCAATGGGTGTACCTACTTAATGCTGATACAAATTTGTCACTGCTCATGTATGTATGTTCTCTTCGATGTCTCGCTGTTGATACCAATACGTACCCATGATTTGTATTGCTTGGTGATGATGGCATAATAAAATTTTATCTCTGTAGAGGAAAACCCACTTAAATATGTTCTTATCTGTCAAGTGTATCCTGCTCTTCCCTGATTCATGTACGTTGACGGTTATAGGAATTCAAGTAGTAAAGGGGAAGACTCCCGCATGTGTATCCTGCTCACTCCATTCTTCTATTCTTTACCTATTCAGTTTGGTATCCAATTTAGTTGTTGGCTTCAGTGAAATTAGTATTCTTGACCCTAGAAAGATCAACTGATTAATATCATAAACTATAATTTGGAGAAGTCTGACCACTTTGTATTACCATAGGGATAGTGGTTTCTAATCAGATGCGATTCATATATGCAAATAATTGTCTGAAACCTTTATAATTGTAGAACTCCGAATATATATTCTGCCCATAAATTGTGTCTTCTATATTAATCGCAGCTATTATCGTCCCTTTTTGTAAAATTAGTCCCCTTACATTTTTCTCGCAATTTCCTTATTACTTTGTTCGGTACATCTTTGATTTTTCAGGCTATCACATTAGTTTGGGAGCTGCTGCTGCTGCTAATTTGTTCTTTAATATATAGATGAAAAATATGTTCTGCTGTATCAATACAGAAGCCTAATAAGGCATTATGGAATGTTAAGGATTGCTGATGTTCTAATGAATGTAGTATTGCTTATTTGCACCTGCTTTCGGCTTGAGCTGTTCTATTTACTTATCACGCTACAATGCTACATAATGTTCATGCCTCCTTTTTTGTCCGTACAATTTGAAGCTACAAGCTGTTAATTTTGCCATCATTCGCTTAATAGATTCCGTATTAATGTTGACAAGGAAACTTTGTTCAAGAAAATCTTAAAAGAAAACGATGCAGCCTTACTGAAAATTTCCTGCAGCAAAATTCTGCAGTTAATTTATTTAGCCTCTAGCGATATTATATTACTTAGACCTTAATTGCTTTTGTTGCGAATGATCCTTTTCTATTATAGAATGTTCTGGGTCAGCTTATCTGCATACATGCACAGTTGCTTACAAAATACTGAAAACAGAATTAACATGATCCATGCACCTTTACAGGTCCAAATGCCAAAGTATATATGCCAAGGCATGCATAGAGTGTGTTAAAAAGTTTTTTTTTACTTTTGCAATATATGGTACTAAATGATAACCTGGTCTGAAATTAATTTTTTTTTGTACTCTGTACAGCCCAAATCTTTGAGAACAGCCTTAGATATGAACACAATGTCAGATTCCTCAATGTTGCCTCCAGTTCAGAGTCAAGCTTCAGTTTCTTTTCAATGCAATGATCACCAGCTCAGGGCTACCTAAGCCTCTGGTATGCCACTGAACCCATGCCCCCTGTTGCTACCGTGTTATTCCCAAATTTGTCATATGTAGAGCTAAGATAACAGGCATACACTAAGCATATTGCACAACGAAGAAGATGATTATACTTTACTATATATGTCTCATTTCCACCGGACTGTTCAAGTAGCTCAGCCATAAAGAGAATTGCCCTCCACTATCACCTTCTACTTTGCATAACAACTTTACATTTGAAACTTAAAAAAGTTGTGCTATAATTACCCACTTTGCTTTATACTGTTTTTATTTTTTGTGACTTTACGTACGTGTTCCTCATGCAACCTATCTCTAAACAAACCAGACCATCCTACTTTCCAATATATTGATTCTCACTTTTCTTGCTATAATTGTTTCTTTGGGGATCCATACCGATCACTACTACTTGCACCGTATGTGCTCATTTTATAGCCTCTATCGTTTCTCGTAGCTTCACATACTCTTGAATTAAACTGATTGTGGCTATCAAATATTCTCATAGCCCCTTCTATTAGCATTACATATTCTTGAATTAAACTGATAGTGGCTACATTCAAAATGTCATCCTTTTTAATCACGGATTCACATTTGCATGCCAATCCTTGCAGGGATTACATGGCCATGGTCAATCTCACCTGTAAAAAGCCCATTTATACAGTTTCTCCCAAACATAACTAGGCATGACAAAACTCTACTTAATTTTTTTCTTGAATATTTCTGCTCATTTGCCATCAAACAAATTACCATGGCCACTCCTGATCAGCTTTAGCTAGGTCGGCTTTAATGATGCTACTGTCCACTCCTGATCAGCTTTACCATTGACTTGGACCACCCGTTTCTCGCATCCAGTTGATGCAGAACACTTACTGTATATGTACATTAATGGAGTATTCATACAGATATAACATGCAGATAGCGCCTAGCGATTCTATGGAGTATTCAGAACACTTACTGTATATGTACATTAATGGAGTATTCATACAGATATAGCTTTCAGGAGTCCTATCAAGGCCAATGATGCTGACGTCCACTTCCAATCAGCTTTACCAAAGACTTAGACCATCTGCTTCTTAGCATCCAGTTGGTTTAGACTACTTACTGTATATTCATTGATGGAGCATTCTGTCCCTCAGTCTGCTACCTGGCTAAACTTGCCACTAATTGTATATGTTATGTCATGCATCCGAATTTCTCAGTTAGTATGCCTGCTGCTCCTTATACGCGAAATGGATTAACATAACTATGTTTTGTTCCTTGCACCATGTGCCTGGCAATTTCTGTTTGTTAGGAGTACCTCCATCACAAGATGCTCAAGCAAATAGAAGCATACAGGCGCAGCGAAGCGCACCTACCTATCTAGTAATTGATAATTGAGAAGACAAGCGTGCAGAATGCCAGAATGGGAGCGTGATCAGAGCAGGACCCACGAACGGAAGCGCTGCGGAGTTGCTACCGGCGGCGTTGTGCCGTTGTCTGCTGCCACCTTTGGCAGAAGTTAGAAAGGAAACCAGACTTCTCCCTCTAACTCTCCACGCGGTAGGAATTCGAACAAACAGCCACTCCCACCACCACCATTTTTCCCACCAACCAACACCACTCATCACTATTATAATATAATATATGTACACATATATATACATGCTCATCGCAGCACGCTAAAGTTTAGTACCATCGTGCCTCCCTGCTAGCTACCTGATCATCACACTGGTTCGAAGCAGCTTCTAGAGGACGTCCAGCCGGCCGGCGGACAGACTAGCCGTGCGTGATGGCCGCGAAGGCAGCAGACCACGTGGGCAGCAGGGAGGAGTTGGAGGTGTCAGTGGAGGCGGGCAACCTCGCCGACGACGACGCAGCGCGGCTAGACGACGACGGGCGGCCGCGGCGGACGGGCACCATGTGGACGGCGAGCGCGCACATCATCACGGCGGTGATCGGCGCCGGCGTCCTGTCCCTTGCGTGGGCGATGGCGCAGCTAGGCTGGGCGGTGGGCACCGCCATGATGCTGCTCTTCGCCGGCATCAGCTACTACACCTCCACGCTGCTCGCCGAGTGCTACCGCTGCGGCGCCGGCGACCCGGAGTCGGACGCCGGGACCGGGAAGCGCAACTACACGTACACGGAGGCCGTGCACAGCATCCTCGGCGGCGCCAAGGTCAGGCTCTGCGGCGTCATCCAGTACGCCAACCTCGTCGGCATCGCCATCGGATACACCATCGCCGCCTCCATCAGCATGAGGGCGATCAAGAGGGCGGACTGCTTCCACGTCAGAGGCCACAGGAACCCGTGCCGCGGCTCCAGCAACCCGTACATGATCCTCTTCGGCGCCGTCGAGGTCGTCTTCTCGCAGATACCGGACTTCGACCAGATATGGTGGCTCTCCATCGTCGCCGCCGCCATGTCCTTCACCTACGCCACCATCGGACTCGCGCTCGGGATCGCGCAGACCGTCGCCAACGGTGGGTTCAAGGGCAGCCTCACCGGCGTCGGTGTCGGCGGCGGGGTCACGCCGATGCAGAAGGTCTGGCGCAGCCTGCAGGCCTTCGGCGACATCTCCTTCGCCTACTCCTACGCCTACATCCTTATCGAGATACAGGCAAGCTATCACCAACGAAGCCTATGCCTACTTTGTCAGTTCTTGAACCATTTTAATAGATGCTCTGTTTCTTGCCCCCTGGTTTTGCTCTGTTTTCTCTGATTCGAAATCGAACAATACAAGCAGAACACGATCAAGGCGCCGCCGCCGTCGGAGGCGACGGTGATGAAGAAGGCGACGATGGTGAGCGTGGCGACGACGACGGTGTTCTACATGCTGTGCGGGTGCATGGGCTACGCCGCCTTCGGCGACGCGGCGCCGGACAACCTACTCACGGGGTTCGGCTTCTACGAGCCCTTCTGGCTCCTCGACATCGCCAACGTCGCCATCGTCGTGCACCTCGTCGGGGCCTACCAGGTCTTCTGCCAGCCGCTCTTCGCCTTCGTCGAGAAGTGGGCGGCGGCCACGTGGCCCGACAGCGCCTTCATCACCCTGGAGCTCGGCGCCGTCGGCCCCTTCAAGCTCAGCGTGTTCCGCCTCACCTGGCGCACGGCGTTCGTCTGCCTCACCACCCTCATCGCCATGATGCTCCCCTTCTTCGGCAACGTCGTGGGCCTGCTCGGCGCCGTCTCGTTCTGGCCGCTCAGCGTCTACTTCCCCGTCGAGATGTACATCGCGCAGCGCGGCGTGCGCAGGTGGAGCACGCGCTGGGTCTGTCTCCAGACGCTCAGCGCCGCGTGCCTCCTTGTCTCCGTCGCCGGCGCCGTAGGCTCCACGGCCGGCGTCATAGACGCAGTCAAGTTGCACCGGCCGTTCAGTGGTGGCTGAGAGCGTGTGCTCCGTGCATCATGCTCGTCTCCCTCCTTTGGCTACTTCCGGCGATGTGGTAGAGCAGAAAGGCGCCCATCTCAAACTCCATTACCGTGATTGCTTGTCAAGCCTGCTCGTGTACTGGTTTATACCTAAAGATGGCCATAAGGCCCAAGGCCCATGGGCTGGCCCATAGCTTGCTGTTTTGGCCTGGCCTACGCACAACACAGCCCGACGCCTTTTGGGCTGAGGAACAGGTCTAGATAGACACTTGGTGCCGATGCACCCACACAAAAAAACTGGAAAACAATGATTATCATCAAATTTTTACCATATAATACATCTATATACATAGTAAATATTTGTGCACTCATAAGACAAAACACATCATCCTTGCATTTGCTCTAGCTCTGTCCCCTGTCTATGCCCGTGTCATCCCTACCCAATGTGAGGGTGATGCTTGGTGGCTCCCCCGCCACGATGTGATAGCCTAGCCCAGAGCGACATGGCCTGCTACAATCTCTATCTACCACTAACAAGACGAAACAAGAATTGTTCACACGACTCCTTCGCCCCCGCTCGGCTCCAATTCTATCCGACTCCCTTCAGCCCCGCACTAGTCCAATCATATCCCTTGATCCCCACCAACGTTGACTCCCCAATCATCGTGTTCCGCCCACCCCATGCCCCCTGGCCCCTCCTCACTGCATCGCTCCAGATCCGCAACCTCTGCCTCCCTGCTGCTGCCAAGGGCAGCTCCCGCTCCTAGGTCCCAAAGATTTGGCGGTCGGCGGACAACAAAGAATGACGACCATGGAGAGTGGAGACGGTGAGGCATGCGCGCACGACACATACTGAGGTCGTTCCACCGAGGAGAGCAGCAGATGCGGCGGCGGCGCCAGCGTCGTCGAAGGACACTCCATGGAGGGAGAGTGGTAGCGGCAAGCGGCACGGGGGGGGCGATGAAGTGTCATGTTGAGCGCCGCCACCACCGCGAGTGAGGTGGCGAGCTTCAAGGTACATCCCGTTGACAAAACTGGGTTGACAACAAGGGTTCGAGGAACAATAGGATACTTGGATCCTATGTACTTTTACACCACCGCCTCACCGATAAAAGTGATGTCTACAGTTTTGGTGTAATTCTTGTGGAGTTGCTCACTAGGAAGAAACCATTTTCGTATTTGTCCGCGGAAGGCGATGGCCTTGTTTCCCATTTTGTTAACCTACTTTCCGAGGGAAATCTTGTCCAGATAATAGATCCACAAGTTATGGAGGAGGGAGGCACATAAGTCCAAGAAGTTGCTACACTTGCAGCATCATGTATAAATTTAAGAGGTGAGGAAAGGCCAACGACGCGACTGGTGGAACATACACTGCATGGGCTTCAAGGTCCCAAGAGATATAACAAAGATGGCTAAGTCTGGGATGACTGAAATTTGTTTTTCAGTTTTCGTGTACCTACCTTTAGCGAATTATAGTTTGGAAATCATTGAGAATTAGATGAGACTCCTTTAAGCAATATTGTAGTACACACGTAGCTCTACGCAACGATGCAATCGGTTGATCAAATAATAGATCTGTTTAGGAGATATGATGGGAGGAAAATGGAGTTTCAGTTGTACGTTTGAGGTGGTATTGGAATTTTGAATCGCAGCTGCAACAGAGCGCTCACGCCGCGTGGCCCTCGGTGCGCTCGCTGCTCGCCACCTCGCCCCACCATGGTAGTGAGCTCCTGCCGCATGCCCTCCACGTGTCCGCGCCCCTGCCTTCGCCTGCGTCGATTTGGAGACCCGAGCACTCACCCATCTCCCATTCTTCCTCTCGCTCTGTGTCTCCTCTCTCATTCTCCGCCGGCGCCTGAGCACGTCCGCCATGGCAAACGAGCGGAGCTCACCACCGCCGCTCCCTTCTTGTCTTCCTCCACCCTGACTCACCATCCTCTGCTCCTCCCCTAAGTCGCGCCGCTCCTCCCAGCTCTCCTTTCCCGGCGCCCCTGTCATCAGCAGCGGCTCGCCATGAAGCCGCCGCCGCCAAGATGCAGCTTGCTCCACGCTGCTAGCAAGCCACAAAGCCACCATGGGCTGTCTTTGGAGCCATGCACCGTGCGCACCAACCTCCTGGTGCTCCGCCTCCACTCCTCGCCGCCAACGAGTCTCCTCCGGCCGACATCGACAAGCTCCAGTGCCTCCTCTGTTCATGTTCGCATCAAGGACCTTGCGCTGAAATTCGTTGAAAAGGAAGGGCCGTTCTGCGAATCTGTGACTCATGTGAATAGTGCTCATAAGGACTGGTTCGCTAGGATCTGTATTAGTAAGAACTATAGGATCCTCGGTGCAAGATCTGTTTTTCTTTTATGGCTGAAACTTTGAAAATGTGTAGTAATTAGTAGAAAAATCGTAAAATAGTAAATGAGGATTTTTTGGAATCCTTATGAAATTATCTATGCAGTAGATCTATAATATGACATGTTTTAGTTTAAATATTTTGCTGTAAAAATAGATTTGTGCAGTAAGGTTGTAATGCGAGTTGAATTTGTTATTTTCTATAACTGCAGATCTAGGGCTCCAAATGAAGTGAAATTTTTGTGGCATGCTACTCATGTGATAGTTGATGTGTGGTAAAAATTTCATAAGTATTGGATGAAGTATGAGTGAGTTATTGGTTTATCTCGCTCTCACATGATTTCTTGCAATAGCAAATTGTCTTTTTCATAGAGGCAGCTATACTTATGCAAATGGTATGAAATCTGTACAGTAGACTATTGAGAGGATATGTGAGCTACCTTAATTTTTGTAGAATTTATTGTGCATTTTTAGTATATGTTCATAAATACACCTTGATGTCTAAATAAATTAAGAAATGCTTTAAGAAAATTTATTTAGAGGTGAGCATCATGCTTTCTGGTGTTCTTTAGTCATGTGTGAAATGTTGGTAAAGTTGGTTTTGCCCAATTATGTGTTTGCAACATAAGTTAATAATTATTTTCTTGCCGATGTGGTTTATGGACAGATCTGGGAACTTAGCAAAGTTCTTCATGATAATGTGCTTTGTTGTGAAACTTGTTTATACAAAAGTTGTAGATAATTCATGTATCTAGCTTCTGTTAAAATTTGGTGTCATTTGGCCAAGTAGTTTAAGAGTTACAGCTGTTTAAAGTTGGGTTACAGAATTGATTGCTCTCTGTCTTGTTTAGACCAGTTTATGTAAATATATAATTTCGACCCACTTAACTTGTGAATCATGCTGTGATGGTTATAGATGGAATGTAGAGAATTTCATAAGCTTTCCTAAATGTCTTGTTTCATGGCTATTGGATTTGTATAACTCTAGTTATGATCCAAACATGAAGCTGTTGTTTCCAGTCCGGAAATAGACATATGTTAGTTGTGGTTGTTACTCATGTGTTGCTAAGTGTGGCTTATGCCCTTGTTGATGGTCAAGTTATGACACTTGTGACTTTGTTAAACTTGTGTCATGCTTGATGTGCTTGCTCTCTATAGTTAGTTGTGTGATGTTAGTTAAATAGCTATTGGTGTCTATGTCTTGCATAATCTTGTGTTTGTCTTGAATGCTTATGTGATGCATCTTGTATTACCATTCTTCATATTCATGCACTTGCATCTTGCATCTCATCTAGGTGCGCTAGATGAGCCACGTGAAGGACGTGATGTTGGAGCCGAACCCGAAGACGGTGTATGGTGGACCTATCCCGAAGGTGGAAGGACTAGACAAGTGCTAGAACGGGAGATGCTCACTAAGCGAGTGTCGTTTAACAAACACTAACCTAGTGTGGGATCCCAGGCAAGCCCCGGAGCATTCTAAGTCTCCTACTTTATAAAAGCAATTCTTCCTATATATGAGTTTATATATTGTTGCATTAAGTTGTAGGAGTTGATTGAAACCGTTGATGCATTTATTACTATCCTTGCCTACCTTATTACCTTTTTACCCTGTTAGGTCGGGATCGAATAACTGCTTAGCCTTGCTTAGACCAGTAGTGATCGGTGATTTCCGGTCACCTACACTTATAGGTGGGTATTGGAAGAATTTAGCTATGGAAAGAATGATATCCTGGAATTAACCATGTGTGATGGATAATTGGAGACCGGACGAAAAAAGTTCAAGGTAACCAGACAGGGTTCTGGGGTGCTGTTAGTTTTCCGTCTGTGTCGATTAAGGACCGATCGTTGCTCGTCCCTCTTGTCATGTTGAACGCATGCCTCACATTTAGCTGACCGGATAAGCCGTTCCGACTGCGAAGCTAGTAGCACTATTCGAGCCGGGATCTACATGGGTGCGCGTATTGGTGCTGATGGGGGTATGACAGGGACGCGAAGAGTGAGCCCAAGGTCATGTGCGCCCTGATTCCTGGCAGTCGGGCGGTCCCTGGGTACTGCGGCTCCAGATTGTCCCACGGCTACCTGAATAGTGTCCTTGGTGATCTAAGCTACCCTGGCAGGGGAAGCATGGTTTGTGTGAGGAATAAATCACCAGCTGGTTAGGAATCGATTCGAATCGCCATCGCTCCTGGATAGTGAGCACTTGACTCGAGCTACAGCATCGTAGTAATTATGATGGAACACTAATGGTTATCTGGATGGTATGGGATATGCTAAAACTAAGTTGGTAACTGGATGTTGTTGGTTAATCAAGTGATTGCTATAGTATAGGTGCTTACCTAGATGGATAGGTCATAATAAAGATGATGCAAAGTACTTAAAATGGTTTCTTTATGATAGCTTATGCTTTTCGCAAATGAGTCAGCTAGCCCACTAAAGAAAGCCTTGCATACTCCTTGGTGTCATTTGTTTTGGTTTCCGACAGGTAAGTCTAGCTGAGTACATTCGAGTACTCATGGTTTATCCCACCATGTTGCAGGTGAAGTTCTTGGCCTGCGGAAGATAGTGGCTAACCGTCAGTGGGCTCGGTGACTCTATATTTACTTCTCACCTATATGCTTTTATCAGAGGATGTCACTTATGCTAGCAATGTATTTGGAACTTATATTAATGTAATCA